TATACGTGCTTATCCGAATACAATCACCGAGGTTAAATTTAATTTTTACATTATTAATTCGACGTTGCTTTAATTTCACTGAAGAAGGATTTGCATCAGCTTGTATAGGAGTCATACCTATTGTTCTATGTTTTGAATTATTATATTCGTTAATCAGAGATTGTAGAATAGAAACCCATTCATGTGATCCTCGCGCAGTGAATTCTCTATACATTTTTTCCTTAATTGATCTGTTTAGACGCTCAATGATACAAGCCTTTGTTGTACTATACGTGGAATATTTATGTATATTGTGTTTCTTCATCAGCGCATCGAATGTTACATTAGTAGAATATATATGCCGATCCTGACACCACAACCCACAACCACAACCCACAACCACAACCCACAACCACAACCACAACCCACAACCCACAACCCACAACCACAACCCACAACCACAACCACAACCCACAACCGCATCCTCATCACTCATCACACCGCCCGCTGCTCGCGTACGTGCGTGACTTATATTATTGTTATCACATGTTATCAGTGTTATCATATTTTATCACTGTTATCATATTATTTCCGTTATCACACCGCCGCCGCCCGGGGAAAATAAGCTAAAAATTTTTTTCCGGACCGGGATTCGAACCCGAGTCCGTCGGTTCGGCCAATGATCACCGTACCACTGCGCCACCCCGACACATATACTTTATATTAAGAACTTGCCATATTTAACGGGTACATAAAACTGCAAAAGAAACATTTAATAATAGATTGCAGCTGCGCGTATTGTCATTAGTAAATCCGTTCGCACGCTCGCCGAACAATCAATAAATGACCATTATACCTATAGTATATCGAATAGAAGATACCAATTAATGAAAAATACATTAACCCTAATAGCCTAATTATTGTCATTGCCAGGATGTCTTAATAGCCACCTCTAATAATAATACAAGTATCTGCCATATCGAAGAATGTCAGTATACCTATAGTATACAAATATCGAATAGAAGATATTTCCTACCATTAGATACATTAACCCTAATAGCCTAATTATTGTCTTGGTCATCGCCAGCCGCCAGGATGTCGCCGACTCTTAATAGCCACAATGGGCATTTATATTGAAAGACACTTTTGGCCACAATGACCATTTATATTGAAAGACACTTTACCCGTATTGACAATAATAGGTATATTATCCGTATTCAATTAAATATTCACACACATGGAAACATTAGTTCTTCATCGCGTACCTGCGCTTATATATCACCGAATGCAGCTGAATCGGTTTAGTCTCACCCGACACGTTTATCGTTCTCGTTCGCTCGCGCCGACTTTTAAATTTTTAGAAGTGTTTAAACATTTTATTATTTTTTCATTTCAAACATTATCATTATGTTTAAATGTACACAGTGCTCATCTGAATTTACACGTAAAGATGCTTTAGTCAGACATGGAAAAACTCATACCGGTATTCGTTTTCCGTGCTCTGTTTGCCCATCGATATTCACCTATAAAACCAGCCTAACCAAACATTTGAAAAATGTTCATGGTATGTATTTACGGTTTATATAATATTATTTATTTTACCTTAATTTATATCTTATATTTTTCCCCAAGGTTCTGTTAACGTTCCGGCACATCGTCAGCCCAATGCACAGATTGATCAACCCGTTCCACAGATTCAGATTGGACCGCAAATATTTGTCCCCGACATCCCGGCCGGTTCGTCAAATGAATTATCAGAGTCATCTGTATGGGGAAATGACATCGATGAAATGGATATGGTTCGATTATTAGAAAACTTAGAAAAGGACGAGGAAAAATCTAGAAAAAGCAAACGTATGAGAATGAACGCTACAACATCAGAATTTAGAGAAGTTGCTTCAGTATTCAACGGTTTAAGTAAAAATTTTTTTAAAAAAAATATTGAAAACATTATGGATTATAGAGTATTTTTAGAACAGTCAAGGCTTAGTATTAGGGATTTACTTTTTAATTCTATACAACAAGGTTCAATAAAATATAGTATTAAAGTAGAGTCAACATATGAGATTCCCAATACAGACGTGAGAGAAAATAGGGCATTTAAAACAAAATGTAGATCGATGTTTTTAGACACTGATATAAATAATAGTTTAGACGAAGATTTTATCAAAATTATACAGGAGGAGAATGATATGATGTTGAAAGGAAGCGGCTTTTCATTAGTGAGTATTGATGGTATTTTAATCAATATTAATAAATACACGCCATTGGGAGGTTCTTCTTATATACCACTACCCGAATGTCTAGAAAGGAAAAAAGCGACAATCAACGTACAAAATACAGACAACAAATGTTTTAAATATAGCATCTTGGCCAAACTCGTCGACCCCGTAAATAATTTTCGAATAGGATCTAATTACACCGAAGTAGAAAACAGCTACGATTTTTCAAATTTAAATTTCCCCGTTACGCTAAACGATGTTGGAAAATTTGAAAAAAAAAATCCAGGAGTATCAGTTAATATATATAGTACAAAAAAAGGGAAGCTTACGTATAAAAATAATATTGACATTAAAAACATTTCTCGCAAAAACCGATTCAAAACAAAATCACAACAAACTTTAATATTTCCTGTAAAAGTATGTGAAGACGAATTAGATGACCACCATGACTTGTTATTATTTGGAGATGGAACGGGAAAACAACATTACTGTCGTGTTACAAATTTATCAAAATTAGTCGGTGCTCAACTATCTCGACACGGTCACGCCATGTCAATATGTAAGCGATGTTTTAAAACTTACTCCGGCGTTAACGCTCATCAACGACTTAATGATCATAAGTTGAAATGTATAACAAATAAACTTCTGTTGCCTATATTGCCACCTCCAAACACTTTTATGAAATTTGAAAACTGGGAGCGTACTCAAAAACATCCTTTCTCGATATTTGCTGATTTTGAATGTATACTTGAAAAAAACAATGATTTAAATGAAATGAAAAATACTAATATAACACATCATCACGATCTTATGAGTTATTGTTACTATATAAAACCATCCGAGAACATTCCTATAGAACTACTAGAAAAATTCAATATTTCAACAGAACCTGTATTATTTAGAGGTGATTCAAGTTTAAACAAGGGAGAGGTTGCAAAGAAGTTTATGGAGGACATTGTCGAAGTTGGTAGAAACATTGATCGATTATTAAACACAAATATACCGCTTGTAATGACCAATGAAAATAATAAAAAACACAGAGAAGTCGATGATCATGGAACATGTCCGTTTTGTAAAAGTAAATTTAATAGTAATAACTTACCCGTGCGAGATCACGATCACTTGACCGGAAAGTACAGACAAACGGTGTGTTCTATGTGTAACCCACTGTACAAATTATCATCACTGGTATATCACCGAGAGGTCACATTTCGAACTGCGAAGTTACAAAAAAGTTCTAGTTACATTCCTTAGATGTCCATGGCAATGCTAACGCCTGGTTGCGCGATGTTACAAGTGAGAGGTTATAACGTAACTTCAATAGGTCATCACTTACTAACTTCAATAGGAACATGATGTGAGCAAACATAACTTCACATAGATGCATATTATTAACTCATTTTAGTAACTTCTGCAAGAAGTTGTTCAATTATTTTTATCAACATCTGAATACTCACAGTTGATACTTCTCCTGGAAGTTTATTTTAGGTTGAACCTTTAGCTTATATTACTAATGGTATATAATATATTATATATACAGGTATAAATTATATATACCTATATATTGTATAAACAGTGAATCCTCTAAATACTGGATCTTCATGTACCTGCCATTTCGTCCACTATTCAAAGGGTTAAGTTTGTAGAAAGTTCGAAGCTATTAATTGTTCCCAAAAAACATTCACTTTTTGGAGATAACTATCAGGAAAGGTTTCAATGTATATTATATAATATACGTTAAAGAAAAAACAAATTATATATTATATTCTAAAATACAACTTTTTTATTGTAGGTATTAAAAAAAATTAACAAGAGCGATTATTAGAATAAGTAATAACTTGTTTCAAATTATCAACATTTTAAAAACCAAAATCTTTTTAGAATACAATTAACAAAATTAAAATCAAACTGTGAAAAATGTTATCTTACATAAACAATATCAAATCAACATAATAATATAATATATAATAATAATAATAAAATTATTTACATAGATGGGTTAAAACAAAACTTATGTGCAAAATGCCAAAATGTTATCTCCCATACGACATACATAATAATAATCAAAACTTAATAACATTATATGAATAGTTATAATAAAATTATTGAAATATAATTTGTACATGTTTAAAAAACAAAATCATTTTATACTATACTCTATATATTAACAAAATAAAATAAAACAATTTGTTCAAAATGTTATCTCACATAAATAATCAAATCCACTTAATAATAATAATAATAATAATAAAATGATTTATACAGGTGGATTGAAACATAACTTATGTGCAAAATGCCAAAATGTTATCTCCCATACGACATACATAAATAATCAAAACTTAATAACATTATATAAATAATTATAATAAATAATTATTGAAATATAATTTGTACATGTTTAAAAAACAAAATCATTTTATACTATACTAGATATTAACAAAATAAAATAAAACTATTTATTCAAAATGTTATCTCACATAAATAATCAAATCCACTTAATAATAAAATTATGTACATTAGTGTCACCAAATATATAGCAAATTAAAAAATTTTAAAATTGAAAAAAACAGCTACATTATAGAGTAGGTATTTATAATTAGAATACATTTATATATTATGTAGTTTGTTCGAATTATCAAAGTTATACAGTTACTATAAAATCTTTTTAGTATACTAGTTGCTGCTTTTATAAGTCATAAAAAAATAAAAATAAGTATCAATTTGTTGAGCAAAATCTTAATAATGTAATAATAATAATAATAACATATACAGTCATTTTAGTAGGTATATTAACATTTATTATAGTTCTGATGAATGCTCCGATGAATGTGAATGTATCATTGACATAATTATTGCTTTATTTTCTGATATTTTTATAAAAAAACATTTATAAAGAACGGAAGAAAAGGGTATATAGATATTTCTTGATACACTTGATGTATTCACATAAAATAAACCTAAAACATTTGATGGTAATGGGTCATTATAAAAAAGTGACATGTTGTTAAATATACAAACATTCAATGTAATACTATTATCTTCATTTTTAATAATTTGTAATATCCTAGCAATTTTATTACCAGATATCATTACATATTGATCTTTAATTTTATCAGAATTAAGTAAAAAATTATTAATACTCAATTGTTTAAACATTTTTACTGTGGGATTGATTATAGATTGCTTATAAACATCATAATAAATTTCATATTTAAAAACCGGGGATACTGCAGAAGATGTATCAATACCAAATGCACTGCAATTACTTGATAGATGGTGTTTTTCAATTATCCTATTATATGCTTCTTGTAATGGGAATCTTGTTTTTTTATTTTTTTTTTTTATTTCCTGCAGGTGGTTTTCATATTTAAAAACACTAAACTTATCCAGAGGCCCATGAATTTTAGCACACTCTGGCAAATGTATTAAATTATGCACATTGTATGATATATACTCTGGACCATAAATTATGATATAATCACTAATAAATTGTTTTATTAGAGATGTAGCCTCATCATTATATAGTATATGAGTCTCCTGAGCCACCAATAAGCGTATTGAACTATGCAATAGCATAAAATGATTATACTGGTTTTTTTTAAAAATACCTTTCAAGAGAAATGGCCCAGTATAAAGAAGTAGAGCACGAAGCTCTGTGGCCTTAAAGTTTTCAAATTCTTGAAAAGATCTAGGTAATCTAGAAAAATCTGATGGATAATATTTTCTTACGTTTTCTATATTCATATCTAATAAATTTAATTTTTCTTCAGGAATTCTCACCATTTTTTTTGCATTTACCCAAAACTTTATCAACCTTTTAACTACACCAAGACATACCACATGCATATAGTCAAGACTAACCACAGAAATTATGTCAATAGGTAGACGTTCTAGGGGAGATGGTCCTTTATGGTAATCCTCATTGGTCTTACTACGAAAACTTTCGTTTGTCCTCCGTGGAGCATTTACACCAGGAAATGTCATTCCCTTAATAAAATCACCTTCCTCAATACATATATTGCACCCAAAATAAGCCATGTGACCTTTTACATTAAGAATATAGGCCTTAGCCGGTGCATCGCATATTATTTGACTAATTGAAAATCTAAAAATGTTTTTATCGATAATAATGCCATTTTGTAAAATAATTAACATTTCTTCAATAAAAGGATTTAAAAACTCTGTGACATCATAAGGTTTTTTTGAGTCACTATGATAAATTCCAACAGTGAATACTTTATTAATTAAAATTGGTATATTTGTAATAGACATTAAAATAGGCCAAAAAGCACTCTTTGAACATTTAGATATAGGCAATCCGTCAATATTAAAACCAAGTTTTATATTATTTAAATTAGCATTGAAATAATGTTCATACATTTTTAATACTGGACGTAACATAAATTCTATTCCGATATGAATGTAGAAACCAGGTTTTATATTAATTATATCGTGGGTTGTTGGAGTTTTTAGAAGCGTTCTAACATCTTTTGGAACATTACTATGACCCTCAGATCTAAATAATGAAAGAATTTCATTCATTGCGTTATGAGAGATATTGTAATCCATAGAAAGCTTACACAATTTTTGATTGAGAGTTGCAGGTGGTTTAACGATTCCAGTATCCATAGTACTTAACAGTAAATTATCTCTAAATGAATCTGCAGAATATAACTTTGGTGGTAAGTCATTTGGTTGGAAACAAATTTCTTTGTTCACATAAATATTATTTGTCGATTGATTTATTAAATTGGATGGCGTGGGCGGTATAACAGTATTACATTTATCATTCAAATTATTATTACTACTGTTTAATAGACAGTTTTTTTTCAAATCAGTCATTACCGGTAAATGTTTTGTGTTGAAGGTAGAAGATTCACTTGGCCAAGCTGTATTGATTGTTAAATTTGATGTCCTATGAGGATTTGAACGACTGATTTCCGTCGAAACTAATCTTTTGAAATTTCTAGTTGACATTGTTGATATTGTGGTACGTTTTTTTCGTTGAATTTTACTCTGCAACATTATCAATTATTATAGGAATGATGGTAATATTAAAATAATAGCTCTATTATATTACTTTTAAAATATATTTTAATTATTTGAGTATCGGCGAATGTAGGAAAATAACATTAAGATTGCACAGTGTTTTTTTCAAGGTCTCTTTTGTATCTTTGATATCCATGTCTGAACCAATCTTTAATATTTTTTTCAAACTCACAATCTGTACAGCTGAATTTAAGTCTGCATAACTCTAATAAACCAAATATAATAATAATATATTTCACTCAGCGCATAACATTACATTTTTTTAAAAATATTTATATACTACCTAACAAAAAGGCCATGATTTTTAAACTTTGTAACTTGTAATTGGCTTCTTTTGTTTCATTATCTTTTCCAGATCCAGTCCAGGAACATTTTTTAGCCAATACATTGGAAAATAATCTTTGTAAATTTCTTTTAATTAAATTTTTAGAATCTGTACCGCCAACAATTTCCATGTAAGATTTCTAACATCCAATAAAAGTTATAATATAATATATGTAAAAATACACAATAATACAATTTAATATGATAAACATTTATTATTAAGGAATATTTACATTTTTTCATATTATATGCAAATAATAATAATAAAATAGGAAATAATAAACCTACTATTTTAAATTCAAATTCTTTGTCACTGGTTATCATTTGTTCGATTTTTGTCAAGTCTTCGGTCGACTTTAAAGGAAACAAATTCAAAAATTGATCATCAAAAGAAGCCATTTGAGATGAATTTTTTTCAACAAATAAATTTGCTTTTTCAAGTTTATCAATTCTAGCGTCCAATCTTTGTACATACATATTGATTGAAATTACCGTTCCGTGTATTTGTTTTAACAATTCATGAGAATTATAATCATCAACTAAAATGTTACAGAATAATTAGCTGGCTCATACTATAGTTAATAATGCATTATTATGGTGATGTAGATATAATTATTTAAATTTAGTCCGGAAAAACTTATGGTCATAATATATATAAATACAAGAAAATAAGAAAATAGATTATAATATTTTAGTCTATTCTATAACTATTAATATCTATGTAGTTATAAAATAAATATTATTTGATGATTTTCTAAGAAAAATAAAAGTTATTTTTTTTACTGAAGTATAAAAATAATATTATGTCATGTTAAATATATATAAATATAAATACCTAATGAGGTATTTTCTGAATTATAATTTTGAATCCTATTATCATTTTGAGGATGTTCTCTGATGGAACTTTCAGTGCAAATAACATCATTATCAGCTCTAAATAGCTGTCGTCGGGTCGCATTATTGGTACTGCTGCTTTCAAAATTTTGAACGTCAACATTATTTAACTCACTGCTAAAGTTGTTTGTAGACGAACAACTGTTTAATACTTTCAATGCTTCTGATAAGAAAAAAAAATTTTAAATCTATAAATACATGAAATTAAAAAAAAAAAATATCTTTCAATAAGTAAATATACCAGATATGATGTTTGGAGATAATCTTAAGTTTATTGTTGAAGGTGACCCATTCATATTTTCTACACCAGACATTTTTGCGACCTTTATTGGGGTATATTCTGGGCTTGTGTCATCTATTTATGAGGAATTATTATAGAATTAAAAGTGTGTAAAACTATTTTAAATAAATAAATAGTATTAATTGTTACACCTATATAGTTGCTATATAAATAATTTAGAATTGCCTATATTATTATTATTGATATCATTTTAAACCAATTTTAACAATAATAGAATATTTAATTTATTTTTAATATCTTAAAACTTATAATTTGGAAAAATGAAAATGATATGTAAAATATTATATAGGAATGTAAAAAAATACTACAGAAATTTAAACTATTAATTACCTATATATAAATACTTTTGTAATTTAATAAAATTATTGGTTAGGTATATAATTATTGTAAACTAGCTGAATTTAAACTAGTGAAATGACACACATAACATAAAAATAAAAATTTAAGTACCCACTTACATATAAGAACAAATAATATAAATTATAGTCTCTAAATAAAATATCAAATTTATTAAATAACTTAATTTTACTAACCACTCATTGTTGTTTCGATATTATATCCTAATTCACACTGGCTTTTTTTTAGAATACTGGCCCTTTGATTTCTTTTTGTTTTTTTTATACTACATGATTGCATTGGTTCAGCCTCTGACGATGATTCATTAATTAATAAATGTTCACGAGCAAGAGCATCTTCATAAGAATCTTTGAAATATCAATGAAATTAAATAAGTACAAATACAGTTTAATTTAAATGTTAGTATACCTATACTTATCTGATCTTATTGCAGTTATAACTAACTACCTACCTAATTACAATAATACTTAATACTTAATATTATGCAAATGATAAATTTGTCTCACCATAAGGTAAACCAACAATTTTCACATCATACTCTAACCAGTCTTCAGAGGGTCTTTGATATTTCATTATCATATTGTTAGTAACTTTATATTTTGGCCATTTGCATCTAACAGATCCTGCATTTTTAATAATCCAACTTTGGGGTACCACCGAACAGCTTTTTGAGTCCAAAAAAGTTACAACATTCCACTGAAAAATTAATTTATAATTACAAGCATATAGGTAGGAACCTATAATATAATTATTATACCTTTGTAAAAGGTTTTTAAAATCATGATTGTAATAAAGTCCTACTATCAGATACTAAGTCTGTATCATTTGGGGAAGGTATAGTTTTTAAGTATAACTTATACCTAGGTATACCTACCTATTTAAAGTTCACACACTATGAGCATAGTTGTGGTAAAATGTTATTATTTTATTATTTCAATCAGAAAAATAGTACCTACATAATAATTATTCGCACTGACACTTTATTATTCTAAGACAAAGTCAGCACCTAAAGTTTTAACTTCCTTATTTTATATTTTGGAATAATAAAAATGAAATGTACCTACAATACCTAGTTATAATTAATCGCGATACTCAATAGTTAAAATAATTTAATTTATCTTAGATATAAGCTTACAGTGCCGGATTTAAGGGTTATGGGGTCCACAGAAAATATTCAATAATTTATAATATTATGGTTGAGTTGATATTGTCACTCAATTTACTAATTTATTAGGTATCGGTATAGACTGGGGGGGGGGGCCCAAAACCTTAAATCCAGCCGCATGGGTTGGTACTTTATATACATAAGCATATATATAAGACATAACTATACTAAATTAAGTAAAACAATGGTAGGTATACTTACCAAAAGATCAGCTTGTTCCGTTTGTTCAAATCGACCAGCAGATCTCATATTTCTGGACATTATTGTTGCAGTTTTTAGTATACTTATATGTACCTAATAGTAACTGATTGAACTACGAAGGCCGTGGCAGTACGAAAAACGGTACACACCATTTGTTGGGAAAAAAAGGTAGATGCAAAAAAAATGATGTAGGTTTTGTTCCTTTTATTTAAACAGTTCAACAAAAAAACATAACTGTCTCGGCGACATAACCCGACTAGGCCTGACAATGCAATAATTCACATTTTCCTAAATTGAAGGTAAGTTTTTAAATGTGATAAGTGCAGTGGACTGTATTTTAAATTGATTACATGATAATGATAACATTCTTGCTAAACATACCGGCCCCCTTGAGAGGTATTCTCAAAAGGAAGTGGAATAAATAAATAAATAATTTAAACATTGTAAAAATGGCATAATGGGTAAGTTACAGATAGATTTCAACAGAGTATAAACTATAGTATCATAACAATATAAAATTCACATAAGGTGACACAAAATTTCTTGATTAATAACAAAACAAATAATTGAATAATTGAATTAATTGGCTTTAACCAGTTAACTAATGTTCGATAGGCAGTCTTATGAGTTTATTAATAGGACGCTTTAGCACCGAATCCTTTGTCTTCAGTGTGACAACTCGCACGAAGTGGTCTGCAGGATTGGGGTGCACCTCGAGCCATATTTTCTTTCTTGAGGAGAACGAGATCGTGGACTTGGAGGTTAGGCTGGGGAGTGGTCCATTTATTCCGTTGCTGTAGTGTAGCCAAATAATCTTGCGACCATTGTTTCCAGAAGGACTGCTGCATTTTCTGTATTCTATTCCACCTGGTGAGTCGATTGGTGGGTGTTGGCTCAGGAATGTCGACTTCAGGTAATGACATAGGAGCTTTACCTAACAGGAAGTGCCCGGGAGTCAGTGCTGAGTAATCGGTGGCTTCCATACTGGCGGGGCAAAGAGGTCGAGAGTTAAGTTGCGCTTCGACTTGACAAAACAATGTGTGTAATTCTTCATATATAAAGACACTATTTAGAGTTATGCGTTGGAGTATGCGTTTACAAGATTTGATGTTAGCTTCCCAAATACCACCAAAATGTGGCGAAGCTGGTGGGATAAAGTGCCAGTCTATCTCTCTGGGCAAACAGAAAGTATTCAGGGCTGAGTTCAATTGTTGAGAGCACAGCAATTTATACACTTCATGTAGTTTATGATGTGTACTAGTAAAATTCGTACCATTATCACTGTACATTTTAGTTGGATAGCCTCGTCTGGCAACAAAACGTTTCAGTGTGGCGATGAAGGTATCGGCTGACAAGTCACTCACTATTTCTAGGTGTACAGCCTTGGTGGTCAGGCAAATGAAGAGAGCTAAATATGTTTTGTACACAATTCTTGAACGTCCAACTGAGGGCTTAGTACTGAAAGGTCCGGCAAAATCAACTCCACAATGGCTGAACACTGGTGCGTAATTAACTCTAAAAGCCGGTAAGTCAGCCATGAGTTGGTGGGTTTTGACTTGTCGAAATCTGTAACACTTAACACAATCATGAAGAACCTTTCTGATGATGCTGCGCCCATGTACAACCCAATACTTCTGCCGCACCAGAGACATAGTGACATTGAGACCAGCATGCTGGTGCAGAAGGTGGATGGAGCGTACTACCATAGTTGTATACAGATGTGCCTTTGGTAAAAGAACTGGATGCCTCATGTCATAAGGTAAACTAGACTGAGTGAGTCGACCACCAACGCGTAAGACCCCTGCTATGTCAAGGAAGGGGTTTAGGCTGACCAGAGTACTGGATGACTTGACGGGGAGACCCAGTCGCAGCCGATGAAGGTCGATTGGAAAGCATTCCTGTTGTACTAACCGGATCCATTTTAAGTTGGCTGATCGCCATTCACACACAGTTGGTAATCCAGTTAGACGAAGAGCTACAGGTTTTTGGCAGTTGTGATAGAAACGTAAAATGTAACAAGTGACATGCAATAACTTACTCAAATCCGAGTACTTAGCTAGCAAGTTGGAGTTAAACGCGTCAGCTTCTGTGGTCACATGTGTAGTTACCTGTGGCTTACGTTCCTCTTGGAGAGTTTGATTTGGATCCTCACATTCAAACGTAGACTGTGGCCATGGATTGGGGGGTAATAGCCATTGTGGACCATGCCACCACAAGGCATTTGTAATAAGTTGATCACCTGACAGGCCCCTGGAGGCCAGGTCCGCAGGATTGTCCTGAGACGGGACATGCCGCCACACCGCTGAGGGACACCAGGTTTGAATTTGACTCACTCGATTGGATACAAAGGTAGTCCACCGGTGTGGATCACTCTGAATCCACTGTAGAGTGATTGTAGAATCCGTCCACAAGTTGACTGATTCTATGTTGATTGTAGACAGTGCCTCTAATAGGTGTTTGGTCAAGGATGCTAACAACGTGGCACCACACAACTCAAGCCTGGGTATTGATTGGGTCTTAAGAGGTGCAACTCTGGTCTTAGACAGAACTAAATGTGATGATGATTTACCGTCAGGAAACACTGACACTAGGTAGAGAGCAGCAGCATAAGCTTGTTCCGAACTGTCACTGTAACCGTGTAGACTATATGTGGTTACCTGAGTGTGTTCGTCATTGCAATGCCGTGGTAATTCAAAGAAGCGAAGAGCACCGTAGGAAGATCGATGATCCGACCACCATTTGATCAGTGTGTCAGGCAGCGGGTCGTCCCAATCCAACTTGTTCTTCCACAGGTGTTGCATAATGATCTTCGCAACGATCACAAGTGGGCTTAACCATCCACACGGATCAAAAATCCTCGCGATTTCCGAAAGTAATGAGCGTTTAGTACATGTTTCACCAACCTTGGAAGATTCAACATGAAATGAGAACGTATCGCGTTGAGCATTCCATGATATACCCAATATTTTGATTGACGGATCCATGTGGTCGATCAGCGTTAGTTGAGTGGCTCTTAGTGCTGTCGGAATGTGCGTTAAAACTGCTTCACAGTTGGTGGCCCACTTACGTAGTTCAAACCCACCTCGGGCGAGCAAGTGTAGTAGCTCCTGGTGTAGCTTGATTGTGGCAGTAATGTCATCTCGTCCGGTCATTACCTCATCCACATAGAAATCTCGCTGTAGCACCGCAGCTGCCTCAGGATGAGTCCCTTGCTCGTCGTAGGCCAATTGCTTCAGGACTCGTAAAGCATGGTATGGTGATGTGATAAGCCCATACGTCACCGTATTTAAGGTATAACTTCTTATTGGACTAGATTCATTTGGACGCCAGACAATACCTTGGTAGACACGATCGTCGGGGTGTACTAAGATTTGTCGGAACATTTGTCGAATGTCTGCGGTAATAACATAGCGAGGTAGACGGAAACGGATTAATATGTCAATTACCTCTTTCTGTAATTTTTGTCCTTTGTGAAGTAGTTCATTCAATGAGTTTCCTGTGTCCATGGTGCATGAACCATCAAACACAACACGAAGCTTCGTAGTAGTACTGGATGGGTTTAAAACTTGATGATGTGGAATGAATATAATCGGACTTGGACTAGTGGACTCTACTAATGTCATGTGATGGGCTGTTACATAATCACTCATAAAATCTTTGTAGAGTTGGTGTAAGGCAGGTTTGGTCTGCAGACTTCTCTCAACTTTCTTTAAGCGTTGAACAGCGAGCTGGTAAGAATTGTTCACTAGCGGTGGTTCTTTTACAAAAGGAAGTCTGACAGTGTAACGACCAGAGCTGTCTCGCGTAAATGTCTCAACAAAATGCTTTTCACACTGTTGGTCTTCTTTGGACATACATGTGAGGCGTGGTACCTCTTACAGTTCCCAAAATCGGTTCACAAGTGATTCAATCGTCGTGGTACAACACGTGACCGACTTAAACATTGATAGTTCATTGTGGGGTTTAGATAATTTTCCACATACTATCCACCCAAAGATAGAGTTGTGTAGCGACGGCGTACCTTTGGGTCCTTGTATTTTACCATCGAGCATTATATCCAGACTGTATTCAGCACTTATGAGTAAGTCGATTTTGTTGGGCACATGGAATGTTGGATCGGCTAACTCAACCTGCTCTAAATGAGTCCACTGTGAAACATCCACGGCTGCAGTGGGTAGATCCACAGTTATCTTAGGAGACACTAAGGCAGTTAACGTCATTTGTTTGCCATTGGTCCTAGGAGAAATATTGAACGTGGAAACTTGAGATGTGGTTGTAGAAGCATTTGATACACCATCAATTATCATTGGCTGATGCAATGTTTTTAAACCTAACCGACTTGCTAAGGCTTTAGTAATGAAATGTGATTCAGATGCAGTGTCTATTAATGCACGGCATAGTTCTGACCGTCCACTTGGTCCGTACACGCGCACCACTGCTGTTGATAATATGACCGTTGACTTTTCTCTTAAGGCACCATGATTAACTGCCACAGTGTCTATTCCGCTAGATGTCGATGGTTGTGTCTTGAGAGTCAACGTGGGCACTTCAGAAGTATTGTTTTCTCCCTTAGAGTCACCAAAATGTAAAAGTGTATGATGTTTACCACCACATTCTTTACATGTTTTATCAGATGAGCATTGACTGGAAGAATGTGAGGCCCGTAGACAATTTATACACAATTTGGCCTTCTTAGCCAATGCATGTCGCTCACTCGCTGTTGACTTCATAAATAAATTACACTGATAAATAATATGATGCTGTGAACAAATATTGCACGGCTGCTTATTACCTTGTGCTGCAGTCACAGCATGAGTTGTTGCTCGACTGTTGCACTTGTTGGTAAGCTTAGATCTGGGTGTACTGGATGATTGTAGTTGTAATAAATCTAACACGTGTATTCTTTTCTCCATAAATTTACACATTTGTAACCAAGATGGAGACTCATAGGCAGATGATTCAATTTCCCATGCTTTTCTGAGTTCACTTGGTAAACGGGATGATATAAGGTAAATTATAATTGTATCCCAAGACTCAGTGGGTTGTTTTAATACTTTTAATGCTCTAAGATGTTTATTTGTTGTATCAACCAATGCCTTCAAGGAGCTGACAGCTTCACTCTGAATGTGTGGTTGATTGAACAAATGTTGTAAGTGTACTTGTAGAACAAGACGTTCATTATCATAACGGTTTGTCAACAAAGACCAAGCCTCCAGATAATTGTTACCAGTCGATGATAATGATGCAATTACATTAGCCGCTTCTCCTGATAAACATGATTTTAAATAGTGCATTTTTCTGGTGTTGTCAATGTATTTATTAACGTGAATAACAGATGAAAATTGGTCGTGGAAAGCATACCAATCTTCCAATTTTCCTGTGAATGTAGGCAGGTTCATGGGAGGTAACCTGATGGATTGTTGCCCTTGTTCGCTAAGTGCATTTTCGTTTTGAGGTTCGTGTGTAGTTTGCCTTAAGTCTAATGTACTTTGCAAAATCCCCTTGATTTTAATGAACGTCCGAGATACCTCTTCCAAGGCGTCAATCATTAACTCAACCTCAGAGTCCTCGACCAACAAGGACAGCTCATCGTGTGCATTTGCATACGTTGTAAACGCACTTTCTGCAAGTTCTAAATGCACTTTTATTTCGTGACTCGCCAGTCCCTCCATTGTCAATGTGGTGACTATGTGTAACTTTTTCCTTATCAGCTTTTCCTTGTTTGAGAGAGTTTTTCGTAAAGTTGTCAACTTCTCCTCCATCTTGAATCAATTAGGTAAGTCAATACAAAATAGACGGAAAGCCGATTACGCGATTGTACAACGCACGACACAGACGGAAACGCACATGTAACGCGTACGAAAACCGACGACCGATGTATACGCGAATGTAACGCGCACGACACTTAGAATATGACCGTCGGACACGCGAATGTAACGCGCACGACAATTAGAATATGACCGTCGGACACGCGAATGTAACGCGTACGAAACCGACGAACGATGTATACGCGAATGTAACGCGCACAAATCTCGAATTCATATCCTGCTCGAATTGACCAATAAATGTTGGGAAAAAAAGGTAGATGCAAAAAAAATGATGTAGGTTTTGTTCCTTTTATTTAAACAGTTCAACAAAAAAACATAACTGTCTCGGCGACATAACCCGACTAGGCCTGACAATGCAATAATTCACATTTTCCTAAATTGGAGGTTAGTTTTTAAATGTGATAAGTGCAGTGGACTGTATTTTAAATTGATTACATGATAATGATAACATTCTTGCTAAACACCATTAAACAATAAGTCATATATGTAGTCGATATAGTCGTTTTCACAGTAAACACTGTTATACTAAACCACGTTGTTAAAAGTTTAAAACTTTGTAGGTACCTACCTAATTCAAATAATTAACACGTGCAAGTCACAAGTCACAACGGTCGACAACAAATCGATATAGCATAGTATACTTTATATATGTAATAGTAACTGATTGAACTACGAAGGCCGTGCCAGTACGAAAAACGCTACACACCATTAAACAATAAGTCATATATGTAGTCGATATAGTCGTTTTCACAGTAAACACTGTTACACTAAACCGCGTTGTTAAAACTTTTACCTAATTCAATATTCAAATAATTAACACGTGCAAGTCACAAGTCGCAACGGTCGACAACAAATCGATATAGCAGCAGCCAGCAAGAAAATACGAAATCGTTAACAAACCTAACCTAACAAATAATTAATTGAATCAAATTTCATTGAAAGAGGAAATGGTAAACAAGCCGACCCCGCGTAGCGTATCCCGCCTATGTTTCGGGAAACGTGGGTCAAACCATAGATAGTACCAATTATAGTACCCCCATGTAGGAGAGAGAACATTCTTAAAGATATTTTCTCTCTCCCACAAAAAATAACGCGACCTCATACAATAATATAAGCCATGGCCTATCCATATCTTTATTATCTATGAGTCAAACACCAGAGTTACCGCCAAAATATCAATCTCGCGTTATATTTATTCTTTGACGAGGGATGGGGACAGTATTGGGTCCCGTGATAAGAGACTATATTATTAGGTTACTTGTTCACTTCTAATGGAAATGTATGCTTAACTTCATATAGAATTCTCTACCTATCGATTTAGATAGACCAAATATCACATTGTATTTTCCATGTGAGGTTATTTATTAACTTTTAATACAAATTAACGATTAACTTCGAATAGAATTCATTATCGATTTAGATAGACCAAATATCACATTGTATCTTCCATTTGAGGTTATTTATTAACTTCTAATACAAATTAACGATTAACTTCGTATAGAATTCATTATTGAATTTTGGTACACCAAATCTCACATTGTATTAGCCATGTGAAGTTACTAAATAACTTCTAATAGAAATGTTCACTTAGCTTCTCATAGATATATTATTTTTTTAACTTTTTAAAGGATATCTAATTGAATACCATGCAATATTTATATGAGAAGTTTAAAATGTGACCTAAATCTAACTTCCAGCAGAAGTTGTGTAACTCTTTTTGCACAGTGGGAACCTAAAAATGCAACGACCTAATTTTGTCCCGTGTTTTTTTCATAACCTTTCCGGATATGATTCACATTTTCTCATCACACAACTAGGCTTTGACACTAAATCTATAAATGTTATACCTAATACCGAAGAGAAGTTGATATCTTTTACTAAATATATTTCAAACTCATTCCAAATACGATTTGTGGATTCTTTCCGGTTTATGGCGACTAGCTTGGAAAAACTAGTCAACAATTTAGGAAAAGGTGGCAATTCAAAATTTAGAGAGACGAGGAAAATATTTAGCGAAAATGATATTGATCTGGTGACAAGGAAAGGTTTCTATCCGTATGAGTATACGGATAGTTGGGAAAAATTAAACGAAACGACACTTCCACCAAAAGAAAAATTTTACAGTTCCTTGAATGAAACACATATTTCAAATGATGACTATGAATATGCGAAGATAGTTTGGAATCAATTCAACTGTAACACTCTCGGTGAATATAGCGACTGGTACTTGAAAGTTGATGTGATGTTGTTGGTCGACTGCTTCGAAAACTTTAGAGATTTGTGTTTGAAGACGTATGGATTAGATCCTAATTATTATTATACTTCCCCTGGCATGTCATTTGATTGCATGTTGAAATATACGGAAGTTAACTTGGAACTTTTGTCCGACTATGACCAAATTTTGATGTTTGAGCAAGGTATGTTTTTTTTTTGTTATAATATATTTTTTTTTTTTTAATGTATTTTTTTTTTTTAATTTATAGGTATACGAGGTGGATTAACTCATGCAGTGAAACGTTATGCAGAGGCCAATAATTTCAAGGTTCCTGACTATGATGCATCGAAACCTGAATCATGGATTGTTTACTTGGACGCAACCAATCTGTATTTATATTGTTGTCAATTTTTAATAGAATAATAATGTAATATATTTTATAGTTATGGCTGGGCGATGAGTAGATCTATGCCGAAAGATGGATTTGGCTGGTTTAACGATGACTTAAGTGTCGAAAATATTTTAAATTTGTTGGATGGAATGAATGAAACGTCTGAAGTTGGATGGGCCTTGGAAGTAGATGTTGAGTACCCTAAATCATTGCATGATGACCACAATGATTTACCATATCTAGCGGAGAGGATAACCCCACCAGGATCAAAAATAAAAAAACTTGTCGCTAATTTACAATATAAAAATAATTATGTTGTACATTACATGGCATTAAAACAGGCCATAAAAGCTGGGTTAATTTTGAAAAAGGTAATGATTGTTTTTATTAGTAAATAAAAATAATGTATTTAATTGTTTG